AGCTAGAAACATGAGGTTCCCCACCCCCCACGTGGTATCTCCATAGAAATCTACCCTGAAAACATAATACGGCAAAGGTCTAAAGTTCCAACACATACAGAAAAACTCATCACTTCTAAATAAAGAACTCCCAAGGCACTTACTCCATTTGTCAAAAGTGAATGTACACCAGACTCTAAGAACACACATCTCAATTCAACTCAATACCTGAGTCCCGCAAAGTGCACACCTGAGGCGTGTCCTTCTCGGGCTGCCACTAGGTGGCGCAGCAGGCTAACACTGCCTCCTAGGAGCCTGGGGCTGCCTGGCTCCCCCTACACCTGGCCTTGTAGGTGAGACATCTCCCGCCACCTGATAGACAAGCAGAACGTGCTTAAAACCAGGTCAGCAGAAAACATAATGTCACCTACGTGGAGTGATGAGTATTTTTCAGAACCTGAAACCAGTCTACTTCATTTCTTGAACATATATAAAAATAGGACTTCCACGTTAAACAAAGGGGAATGAAGAGGGTGTAGACATCAAGTAAGCTGTTTTCCCCACAGCTGCCTGGTTCTCATCCACCCTCTGGGTGTAGCCCTCCCGTGAGCCGCTTCCTTCCATTTCCCCAAGTGCCGTTGCTCAAAAGCAAATGCTTGTGCCCTTTCTGAGGCAGCCAGGTACCCACATCGTCCCGCTGTTCTCTCCTGAAGGTGGACGGTCTCGCAGAGCCGTGGCGGTGCCGTCTGTCCAGGCCACAGCTTATGGAAACCTGTACAACGGGCGTCACGGTCTCTGCCCCACAGTACCGATCGATGCCCCGTCCCTGGCTAAGAACACCCGAGACCGCGGGGCGTGGGATTCCCGGGCTGCTGGGGACCACTGACTGTCGGGTCACGATGAGACACAGTTGTGATAATGACGAGTTCTTGGCGACAAATGGAGACGAAAAGGCTTTATTAAGTTCAAAGTATTACAACCCAACTCACTTTGTGTGTCTGACACTGAAAACCAAGAACGTCCCAGGCAACAGGGGTACAGACGTCTCTGTTTCGATGCCACAGACCAGGCACAGAAACGAACGGGCAGGGGACTCTCGGGGAGCTCCCTTCTCAGCCCTCTGTGTCCCGTGGCCTTTCCTCCCACGAGGGAAGTTCTCGAAGGGCAGCGCCCAGGACTTCGCCGATCAAGTGGTTTTCCCTGAAAGCCAGAGAGAGCTTTGTGTGGTCCGTCCGGCTTCCCGGAGGGCGGGTCCAGCCTCACCGACAGCCGCTCGCTGGCTCTGGAGCCCGCGCGGCCCGGGCGCCCTCCGTGGCCGGCCCCTCCTGGGTCCCCGGAAAACCCCCACCAGACCCGAGGCGGTAAGTCTGTACTTTGGCTCAGAAATCGCTCTCCGGACGCGGTCTGGAATCCGAAGCACATTCTCCAGGCCCTTCCCCCGCCAGCTCTGGGTGAGGCCGCGTCCCTGTCACCTCAGCACTGAGGGAGGCGCGTGGCAGGACGGGCAGCGCGTCTGTTCACACCTGCACTCCACCGGCGACTGGCACCCATGGTGGGCTGTGCAGAGGATCAGCCAGACCCAGTCCCTGGGGAACTGCAGGGACTGGAAAGGACCCCAGTCTGTAGGCCTGGCTCCAGGTCTTCCAAGGTCATCGGACTACAGACATTAGCCCCTGCACCCTGTTTCATACCAACACCCCCTGCCTCCCTCACAGGCCCAGTGAACTGGGGCATGTGGCCCGGCGGTGTGGCTCAGTGGACTGACTGAGCATGGTCCCGTGGACTGAGGTCCCGTTTCAACTCCCTGTCGGGGCACATGCCCGGGTTGCGGGCTCCATCCCCAGTGGGGGGCGTGCAGGAGGCAGCCGATCAGTGTTTCTCTCTCACATCGATGTTTCTCTCTTCCTTCCTCTCTCTAAAAAAGTTAATAAAAACATATTTTTAAAAAAGGGAACGGGGCACGTGGAAGTGGCCTGTAAACAGTGACACTGTGACCATCACGCGAATATTAGTATTCACCGCACCCCCGCCCCTTAGCGAAGCCCAGACTGCTGCTTTCGGCACTCAGGGTGAGCCTCGTCACACGCGGACGCTCACAGGCCCCCCGGACGCTCACAGCCCCCCGCGGGCGCTCACAGCCCCCCCCCGCGGGCGCTCACAACCCCCCCCCCCGCGGGCGCTCACAGCCCCCCCCCCCGCGGACGCTCACAGCCCCCCCCCCCGCGGACGCTCACAGCCCCACGCGGACGCTCACAGCCCCCCACGCGGACGCTCACAGCCCCACGCGGACGCTCACAGCCCCACGCGGACGCTCACAGCCCCCCACGCGGGCCGCTCACGAAACCCCCCCCCCTCCGCGACTGCTCACAGCCCCAAACCCCCGCGAACGCCATCACAGCCCCCCACGCGGGCGCATCACAACCCCCCCCGCGTACGCTCACAGCAGCCACCCCCCCGCGGAAACGCTCACAGCCCCCACGCGGACGCCTCACAGCCCCGTCGGACGCTCACAGCCCCCTCACGCTGACGCTCAACAGCCCCCCAAGTCGGACGCTCACAGCCCCCGCGGACGCTCACAAAATGCCCCACGCGTACGCTCACAGCCCCCCCCCCCGCGGACGCTCACAGGACCCCCGGACGCTCACGGTCCCCCCCCCCGCGGACGCTCACAGCCCCCCACGCGGACGCTCACAGCCCCCCACGCAGACGCTCACAACCCCCCCCCCCGCGGATGCTCACAGCCCCCCCCGCGGACGCTCACAGCCCCCCACGCAGACGCTCACACCCCCCCCCCCCCCGCGGACGCTCACAGGCCCCAGGCGGACGCTCACAGCCCTCCACGCGGATGTTCACAGCCCCCCACGTGGACGCTCACAGCCCCCACGCGGATGTTCACAGCCCCCACTCAGAGCTTCACTGACCAGCTCCCCAGGAGGCAGGAGGTAGGATCCTGGCAGGAAATACTGGGCACTTTCAGCACCTGGCCCCCCAATCGGTGACACTGGATCCCTTGTCCCATAACTCCCTTTCCAATCAGATCCAGGCCGCCTAGGACCTGACGCTGGAGGGTACGAGTGGGGTGACACTGTTCTTGCCTGTCCCCACTGGGTCGTAGGGCGGGAGGGTGTCGCTGGCCAGGCTGACGGGTTCAACGCTTCAGGAAGTGGCCCTTTTCCCGGTGGTCTCTTCTTCCTGTTTGTGATCTTAAGTGTCGCTCAGAACGACACAGGGACTGAGACAGTCACCTGTGGTCCTGGTCGTCAGAGCTGAGGGCCTGCAGCAGACCAGTGTGTGGGTGGGAAGGTCTGGGGGAGCCCCGGGGCATGGCCCAGCTCCCTTCCTCCCCACCCGCCTCCTGCCCCTGGCCCGGGTGAGCCACTCACCCGGCCACAGCGCCTGCTGGCCCCCAGGGAGTAAGGGCCTCCCTCGGACGCTCGAGGAGAGTTCCCAAGCCCAGGGGAGCCTCAGGACCAACCACTGGGGCACAGCAGGGCCACCACCTAGGCTGGCATTTCCCAAGGCATCCAATGCCAGGCATGTCGCAGCACAGGTCCGAGCTCCGGACCCACCCCCATCTCCAAGGCCCCACAGGGGCCCTCACAGCACTCAAGTGCTCTGTATGGTCAGGCAGTTTGGGGAAACAGGGATTCGGCAAAAAGACCTACAGGCTTGGAGTCTGGAGACCTACTGACATCTGTGACGTCACCAAGGGCAGCGATGGCTTACTTCTCCCTTGATGCCCACCCCTAGGTGCAGAGTGAGGCTCAAAAGGGAGGTGAGGGCCATCATCTCTGTAAGACGGTCTCGGTGTCGTGAGGGTGGCCAGCAATGCTGGAGGCTGCAGCTCTGAGCCCAGAGCAGGCGGAGCTCCTGGTGCATGTGCTGGGGACACGGGGACATGCTCCGCCAGCTGCAGGACACTCGGCCCAGCTCCCCACGGAGTCTGTGCATGGCCCAGAGGCCGGTCATCCACCAGGGGACACCTCCTGCGGCCCGTATCCATAACCCCTCCTTCAGCTCACGTCCCTGACGCACTGCGACACACATCACCGCGTGGGCCCTTCGCCTCCCCCTCCCCCCCAGTCCACCTCTTTCTTTTCTAATATCGGCTTTTCAAATCACAGTGTACCTTCAACTAAGATGGATGGACGAACACATGCAATACTGAAACAGCAAATATACCCGTTTAAATGGAAAACACTTTAATTCTCTGGGTCTGCTGGTCTCTATCCATAGCAGTATTTCCTATGAGATGCAGAAAACCTCCCCGTTCTTTCTCGCGTTTGTCCCATCTCCCCAGGGTCCCAGTGGACAGAGACCAGGCCTCACAAGAGACTTGGCGTGTGCCCGGGAAGGAGCGAACACGTAAGCCCTTCTATGAGCGCACGGCTCAGGAGAAACGCGGGGCATGTCCGGAAAAGCTGGAGTGCCACCTCTGCTACCCGCGTCCAGTCTGCGTTGTCTCCTGTCCTCAGTCCCAGACACGACTGTGTTCTGTCGTGACTGAAGGCACTGAAGTCTCAGACCTACGTCACTCTGCAGAGGACAGCCGGTCCCATCCCCCCAGCTTGTTCCACGAGCCCTGTCGTCCTGTTTCCATGGTCTGTACTTCTGTCTGGGGAACTGCAGGTTTCGTGTGGACCCTCCTCGCCCATCAGACGTGCCCTGGCTCAGAAGCAGTGACCGCGGTCTCTGCGGCTGGTGTGCGGCTCTTTGGTGGCGCGAAGCCTTTGGTGGCGCGGGACGAAGAGGTAAGCGCTCCTGCAGCTGCCCGAACCCTCCACAACGGCCTGGGCAAGCCGAGCGCCAGAGCTGGTGACTAGGAAGGAGGTTCTAACCATCCTGTCCGTCGGAACCGGGACCCCACCGGACAGGCTGGGCCTAGGCTTTCAGAGGCCGCGCACACCAGCGCGTCGAAGGCTCAGCACCAGGGTTATGGCTCGTGTCTCCCAGCCCTTGGTGGCGCCAGCGCAGGCTGAGCCGGCTTCTCCAGGACAGGCCGGAGCCGTCGGCGGTCGGCCAGTTCTCCTCCGAGCAGGGCTGTCAGCACACCCAGCCGACCCTCACCAGCCTCTTCTGCGTTTCGCTGCACACGAACGACTGTTTTAGAAATGCCAAGATGTATGGGTGCCAGTGGAATGGCACTGTGAGAACAAGGCCTCGCCCCAGCCAGGTGGCCCTGGAGAAGACCAAGGAGATGCCGAAGGAGCCGTCTCCAGAGGTTGTCCAAGGATCCACAGAGGATGGACCCACGTGGGAGGCGGGGACAGCGAGGCCAAGCAACCTCCCGTGACGGGCCAACCGTGAGTCCCACAGCGCGGGCTGAAAAGCTTCGACAACAGTCAGTCAAGGAAAGTGGAGACCGTGCGACACTGACGGCTGGATGGAGTCAGGGACTCAGGGCTGGACGGTGAAGCAAGAAAAGTTTCTCCTGCGAGAGAAACGAACATTTAAAGAGCACACCGACGTCTCGTGCCCGGAGAAGGAATCAATACTGTGGGCTGAGCTCAGCTGGGAGGTTCTTCTGTTGGTCTTGGCTGGGCTCCCTCGTGCGTCTGCTGTCAGCTGAGGGTTGACAGGCTGTCAGAAAGGGGGACAGGGAACGGGGCCCTTTTCTCCCATCATGCAGCAGGACAGCCGGGCTGGTTCACCCGGTGGTAACAGCAAGGGTCCCCGGACAACAGGAGAGGACACGCCCATGCACGAGGATTTTCCAAGTCTGCTTGCATTGCATTCGTTACTGGGCCACCAGCCAAATCAAGTCACCCAGCCAGTGCAGACTCAAGGGGTGGACACTAGGCTCACTTCTGGATGAAGGGGAAAGAGTGTCCGTTTTGTGCAATTTACACTAATTACAAAATCCAAAAAGATCTAACTTTGGGAGGCCTATCATTTAGGCAGTGGTGGGAATACAAAGTTCTCCTCTGGAAAGCAAGATCTCTCGCAGTAGCCACTGGGGAGGCCATGGTGCACGGTCATGTCTCGGGCGCCCTGGAATGGCAGGGTTTCTGGGCAGAACCCACGCATGGTAAGCGCACAAACCCAGGAGGCTCACGTGGACTTCACGGGGACGACGGCCCACGTCCCAGGTGTAATGAGAACATACATTCTTTTCTTTCAAATTCCTGACTTCGTTTTCCTTTTGCTCCTCCTTCTTCTTCGTGTGCACACTTAAGTATGTATCAAAGGCACCTGACACCTGCCACATCAAATGCGGAGGGAGGCGGGCTGTGTGTGTGCCCCACGCGGGGACATCCGGGCGTGGGGAAGATGGAGAGCCCTTCCTGTCCGACTCAGCCGTGCTCAGCAGAGAGAAAAAGCGCTTATGTTCTCAGAACAGACAAGGAAACACCACGCAGACAGCTTTCCAAACAGGGGCAGACTCTCTTCCATGTGGTTCGGGCCGCTCCTGGACTGTCATTGAGAACAGCAAAGGGAAGTGATGGGGACTGTCCAGCAGGTCGCAGTCACTGAGCCGACCAAAGGCCTTGGGACTTCAGTGTGACAGCAGTCGCAGTGAGGGGCTGGGCGGAGAGGGGAACAGGTGCGCCTGGCCAGCAGCTGTCCCGGGCTGTCAGCAGATCCACAGCAGTAACAGAGTCTCCGCCTCTCGGCACGCACAGGTGTGTGCTGGGCAGAGGCCTGTCCTGGAGATCGGCCGTCCCGAGCTACCTCCATGTCAGACTTGGGAAAGAATCCTGGTTCGGCTAGGAGACCGGGCAGGATGAGCCCTGTGGTGAGAAACTGCCCGCGTGTCCTCACACAGTCACGTTCACGATGTTTCCCGAGCGGGACAGATGGGCACTGAGGTCTGGAATCGGCCTCGCTTGGTCTGCCCCCATCCCCTGCCAAAGCGCAGATCAGTAAACCTTCCGAGGTGGTGGCCGGAGAAGGTCCCGGGCCTGCTGGCTCTTGGATTTGTATCTTGTTCCCGTCGTCCACTTCTGATTTTTTGTCGTCCAGAGAGAGGTCTCAAACAAGCGTCAGACCACGAGGGACATCCTGGTTGGAAAGTCACTCTGCAGAGGGACAGAAAGAACCCAACGTGAGACCACGCACTGGTTAGAGACCCACCACCCACCCAGCACAGCACGTGGTTCTGTGGGCGCAGTCTACGACCTGGTCCCAGCTGGCACAGCCTGACTCTTGGACATTTCACAGGCTTATAACTACTGTTCCTAAGCCTCAGCTGGTGCCGAAGCCGACATACACCTGTAGAACTTAGGTCCCTGGCCACAGAGTAACTTCCCACGCCTCTGGGATGGCTACAATGTTCAAGTTCCCCACCAGCTCCGCGGACGCTGCACACGGACCTGCCGTCACCTGAGAGGTCCTTCCCTACTCCCAGGACATTGATCCCTACATTGTCCTCCTTCAAGAAAGGGAGATACTGGATTGTTCTGGAAGGATAAGTGATCACGACAAAACCTTCTTCTGTCCGTGTTCTCTCCTCTACGACACTCTTAAGAAAACGTCCGACTTGGAGTCGTGAGAACAACGGTGGGCAGGGTAACTGGGGGGGGGGGGCGCGGAGAGTGGCCTGGGGCACCTGAAGTGGACGTCTGAGATGGTCCCCCCACGTTTCTCTGAGGCCCAGAGCCCACATGTGGGGCTGGCTATGTTGCGGGCCGCTCTCGGCATTTAGAGAAAGCAGCAGGAGACGACCTAAGGCCACTTACGCAAGAGACAATGCCCTGGGCAGGGAACAAAAGAGTCCCTTCACACGTGCAGGGCCCAGTACACAGTTTCCACTCAAAATGTCAGAGGAGGGAAGGAGTCGTGGGCTCCTTCCTGAACAGCAGTGGCTGCTAACCTGTGGGCCTTGACCGTCTGGGAATTTGATGTGTTACACACCCTCGCCGCGGAGGGGCGCGCCTCCAGGCATGCGCAGAGCGTTCTGCACGCAGGCCTGCAAACCCACCTACGCCCTGCGCTGGTGACAGCCAGAATCCCTGATGCTAAATGCTGTTGACTGGTCCCTAATGGCCCAAGGCGCTCCATCGACACACCTGCACGGCTGCCTTATCCAGTCCCCGGCCCGGGTACTCACCTGCCTGTCCCGGGAGGAGGGAGATGGGGGAAGGCCAGAAACCTGGGTTCCCTTAAGTGGGCCCCCCAGCCCCTCCCCAGCTCCCCCAGACGTTGGGGGCCACCTGTCTGCTCCCCGCCGCTGGCCACCCCAGGCCCTGGACGTGACCCTGCCCAGGCGGCCCGCAGCCTCACCGGCTTCTTGGCGGGCTCCTTCTTCCGCCTCTTTTCCGAAGTGCCCTGGGCGGAGAGGTCCCGGCCGCGGTGGGACGGCCTCCGGGTCAGCTCGTGCTCGCTATAGGGCGGCAGGGCGTCGTCGGGCGCGTCCCCCTCGTCGCTGCCCCTGGGCGCGCGCGCCCGGTAGGTGGCCGGCGACCAGGCGTAGTAGGGGGCGCCCCGTCGGGAGGGCGTCTCCAGGCTGCCCCCGCGGCTCGGGTGCTCGCAGGCGGCCGGCAGGCTCACCAGCCGGGGCAGCGGAGCGTCCTCGGGGGCCCAGGCGCGCTCCCCGTCAGCAGAGGGCTCGCGGCTGCGGCTCCGCGCCCCGAAGTACCGCTCCGGCGAGTAGCCCTCGGGAGGGTACCCCTCGGGCGGGCCGTCCCCGAAGAGACCCCCACGCGCCCGCGACTCTGCGCGCTCGAAGCGGCCCCCGGCGCGGGCGTCGAGGCCGTTGTCCGCCCGGCGGGACCGGGAGCCGTAGGAGTCGGCGAAGGCGGCCAGCTCGTCCATGGACACAGCTGGCACCCCCGTGGCGAAGCTCTTCCGCGACAGCATCTCCGACTTGCAGCGCTGCTGGCTGCGGCAGAGGGGACACGGGTCAGGCGGCTGGGAGGGCGAGGGACACGCGTCTCCCGGGTGCGGAGACCTGGTCTGAGCCCCGCCCGCACCTCGCACACGTGGGGTCTCCCAGCGTGAAGGGGAGGCAGCCTGCCCTCTCATGGGTCCTGGGGTTCAGCATCACAAGGGAGCTGGGTGATGAACCTTTGTGATCCTGTGGTGGGGCCTCCTGGGCATTGTTACGTGACCTCAGTGACCTCGGGCTGGCAGCCACGTGTCACCGCTCACACCCGCAAGCCTCCGTGGGTGGTGTGGCTTGCAATTCACACGACTGTGGCCCACGGAGCCCTGAGATACTTGGTGCTAGACAGGCCTTTTCTTCCCTGCGAACTGACTGACCAGTTACCTCTTGGGCGCAGGCCAGGGGGACTCCTGCGCCGGAAAGTCAGCAAGCAAGACAGTGTCCACTGCCCTTCAGGGCGAGGGCAGGTGAGGCAGATGCCATTCCGTGGGAAGCGGCCACACGGTCCGCCTCCCGCGTTCATCAGCTGAGTGACCCTGGGTGAGTTCCTTAGCCTCCCTGTGAGTTTCAGTGTCCCCAACTTAAAATGGAGACATTAACAGAACCTGCCTTTTGGAGTCATGACAATCCAATGCAACCGTGTAACGTGCGTGACATCGTACCTCCCACAGCACACGTGACAAAAAGCAGAGGCCGTGGGATCAGCGTATCAGAAGGGAGGGGAAGTGCCGAAAAGGTCCTTGAAGGGGTGCACAGCAGCCCTGCCAGAGGGCTTGGAAAGGGGACTTCTACACAGTGTCACAGTCCCCTCGCTCACTGACTATGGGAAGGGGGTGATCTCATAGAAACACAACATGGCCCTGGCCAGTTTGGCTCAGCGGTTAGAGCACTGGTCTGCGGACTAAAGGGTCCTGGGTTCGATTCCAGCCCAGGGCACATACCTCAGTTGTGGTTCGTCCCCGGCCCCAGTTGGGGTCGTACAGATGGCAACCAATCGATATGTTCTCTCACATAGATGTTTCTCTCCCTCCCACTCTGTCTGAAGATAAATGTAAAAATATCGAGTGAGGACTTAAAAAAAAAAAGAAAGAATGTGTGTGGCCGGATAACCCAGAAAGTCAGACAGAGGGGTGACCTGGGACGAACAGCCTGGGACCCACCCACCTTCACTCCTGCCCCTCACGCCCAGCCCAGAGCTACCCCCGCGGCCCTTCACCTGTGCCGGAAGCCGTCCCGGTCCTCTCTGCTGTACTCCACGGCCGAGGGCCCCCGGCTCGCCCCGCTGCTGCCCCCCACGACACCCGACCAGTAGTCCGTGCTGCTCTCCAAGTCCCGGGACCCAGGGAACTGCTTGCCGCGCGTCTGGTGGTAAGACTGGCGGAAATTGCCGTCGTCCTCGTGGAGGGAGCTGAGTTCTGAGATGGTGTTGTTATCTGTGGGGACAGAACAGGGCATGACAGAGCTTTCCACCTGCTCGACGGGACGCGACTAAGAGCAAGGCCAGGAGCCCCTGGGAGCTCCCCGCAGGGCCCAGTCCTGCTCTGTCCAGGGTGGTGCAGACCGAACTAGCGGGGTGTTCGCGGCTGGCGGGACCTGGCTCCTGCTCGCAGCTCACTCGCCCACAGTGTAGGAGGCTGCAGCCCTGCTCTGTTCTTGGCTCGGAAACAATCGTGACAGCTCCACCTAAGGCAGGCTCGCGGAACGCGGGTTCCCGGAACGCAGGCTCCCGGAACGCGGGCTCCCGCAGCTGCCTCCTCCGAGGTCTCATCATCTGTGTTCAGTTGTTCGTCGTCTTCTCGCATATTCTGGGATGAGCCATGCTGACTCCAGGATGGCTGAGCCAGAGGGGGGAGAAGCCCCAGACCCCAGTGTCTTCCCTGCTGTTGGCTGAGTCCCGAGATGGGTGTTCAGGGCCAGTGCCACCCCGGGCCGTCGAAACCCCCATGCCCGCCTCCTGCAGCTGGGCTCATCCACAGAGCATGGCGTGCACAGGGCGCAAGGGACGGGCCCACCGTGGGTCTGACCATTCACCCCTGCTGCAGCTTAGCGAGGAACCTGGGATATCCTCTCCAAATCCTCCAAGTCCATTTCTGGAGCCAAGGTAGACGTCTTCCCTCCCCAGAGTATTCCAGGTGTGTGTGGTTGGAGGCCAGGACGGCTGTGTGGAGGTGCGGGAAGGAAGGGGTGTGGCTGTGCTATGGCCGGGGGCCTCCACTTGAGGTCCAGCCCCAGCCCCACACTGTAGAAAGGGGGTGGGGTCTGTCACAGCATTGTCATTTCCTAAGAGGGCCTAGGGAGCTGTTCACAACCGCATGTGTGAAAAGGACCAGAAATGTAATCTGGAAAGAAAAAAAACAAACAAAAGCCAAACCTACTTATTTATAGAACTTTGAAATGGATTGAATTTCGTTTTACTTGAAAAAAAAAATCTAGTTAATCTATTTGCAATGTAATTCAAGCCATTTGTTCCTAAAATCCATTGGTTAGAACTTCAAAATATTATCAAAATCAACATTTACAGCACGTAAGGCCTGGCCGCTGAGTGCAAGGTAAGCCAAGATGGGGTGCGGGAGGCACACACGTGGGCCTGAGGTTCCCCCTGCTTCTTCCCCAACAGTCCTCGAAGGAGCAGAGAGTTGTTGCTGTTTCCCACCCGCGAAGGGGAGGTCGGTCCTCCCCCATGGCGTGGACACGCCCCTTCTGTCTCCAGGACATAGGACTGACCAGGAACACCATGCAGTTGGGTCATCAGTTGGTTCTGAATTATAATCCAACTGTTAAACCTTTCTTCCTCTTAAGGAGAATGGACGTGTTGGTGCATATTTCAAAGGAAAACAACTCAGATCCTCTCGAAGAACATCTAGGACCTTTCTTTGCTCATGATCCCAGTGAAGTCCAGTCTCCTGGGAAACACCCGGAAGAGAACCTTCAAATGCACCAGGTGTGAGCATTGCCTTCAGTCACGTGTGACCGCTGAGACATCGCACTGGCCCAGAACTGTCCTCAAACTGCAGAGAGCAATGGAAACGTTCACGTCCCCAGAGAGTGAGGGCTCTCTCTGTGTTCCCAGTCCCCCAATGGACTGCCCAGGCGCACGCTCTGAAATGTCTGCCCGTTGAACGTGACCATCCTCCTCTGCTTCACAGACACCTGTAACTCTGGGACGGACAAGCAGACTCTTTCTGTAAAGGGCCACAGAGTGAATATTTTAGGGTTGGCAAGCCACACCGTCATGACTATTCAACTCTGCCACTGCAGCGTGAAAAAGAGTCGTAGATAATAAATGTGGGAACTGGCATGGCTGTGCTCCAATCAAACTGACTTACCCAAACAGGAGGCGGGACATCGGTGCCCTGGGAGCTGTGGTTTGCGGATCCCTGCACTGGGATCACAGACTAAAAGCATCCCGAGAGCAACCCTGTCACAAGGGGCAAGGCAAGGGAGGGTCCTACTGGCTAGCGGACCCTGGGGCACCGAATGCTTCCAGAGGGGACCCTCCCTTGTTGCAACCTGAAACCAGGAGCTCCACTCTGTGCTGAGATCACCAAGACCACCTACTCCCGCAGTCCACCCCAGGGTTACTCTGCTCTTCAGGATTAGAACCTGTCCAAGCCCGGTGACCTATATTCCTGCCTCATCTCCGAGCCTTTGCAAGCAGGTTCCAGGAGATCGGGTTCCAGTTCTGGCACCGGGGCCAAGGCTTGGCACAGCCTGGCACAGCCTGGCACAGGGAACTTCCCTCCACCTCTCTTTCCTCCTCTGTAGAATGAGTGAGGGAGATTCAGCGACCTCAGTTTCTTCTACTTCCAACCTCCTGAAGTTCTATGAGCTAGAAGGCGGTGGTCTCTGAGCAGAACATGCTACGTCAGCCACACAGCCAGCCACGGCTAGCCACAGTCTGCCACGACCAGCCACAGCCTGCCACGGCCAGCCACAGTCTGCCACGACCAGCCATGGTCAGCCACAGTCTGCTACAGCCAGCCACAGCCTGCCACGACCAGCCACAGTCTGCCACGACCAGCCACGGCCAGCCACAGTCTGCCACAAGTTTCCTGTGTGAAGAGCACAGGACAGGAGTCAGGACTGGGCTCTAGTCTGATTCTGTCACTTCAACCCTCTGACTTCCGTGTCCTCATCTGTACACCGCACAGGTGATCCAGGCCATCTCCGAAGTCCCCTAGGACCCTAAGAGTCTATGACCTTGTGACCTGCCAGGCCCTGAGGCCCATTTTCATCCAGGCAGCTAGGAGGTACCACGGCCCCCAGTGTAACTGAGAGTCACAGGGCTCCTTTCTGCTTGATCACCGACGCTCTGTCCCCTTCCAGGGATCCGTGACAACACGGTTACAGCTAGCTTGTCAAGTGCGGGCCATCTGCGTCCCTGACGTTCCCATCTGGAGCTGGTCTTTTTCTAGTCCGGGCAGTGGGAGGCTGCAGCAATGGCTGGAACTCAGGACGGATTTAGAGCCACAGGCAGGGGGCGGGTCTGTTGTCCTCGGTCCCCACACAGCTGCTGTAGGCTGCGGTGCGCCGTCTCCCCAAGTTCCATCGTGTCCTCGCTGGTTCCAGGGCGAAGAGGGTTCAAAGACAGAAGCGCGGTGCCCTCACTACCATGCCTGCCGGCGCCCCGTGGCGGTGAGCCAGCCCGCCGCACCCCTGCCGGCGCTCCGTGGCGGTGAGCCAGCCCGCCGCACCCCTGCCTGTGCCCCGTGGCGGTGAGCCAGCCCGCCGCACCCCTGCCTGTGCCCCGTGGTGGTGAGCCAGCCCGCCGCACCCCTGCCTGTGCCCCATGGCGGTGAGCCAGCCCGCCGCACCCCTGCCTGTGCCCCGTGCTGCTGAGCCAGCCGCACCCCTGCCTGTGCCCCGTGCTGCTGAGCCAGCCGCACCCCTGCCGGCGCCGCCTCTCCCCACAGCAGGTCACTTGGAGTCCACCCTGAAGAGGCTGTGTCAGTGGCCAAGTCTCCTGGACGGGGCGGAGTGAAGGGTGGGGCCCTGCCCCTGGCCCCGCCCCTATAGGCCCCGCCCCTGACCCCGCCCCCTACAGGCTTCACCTTGACAAGCGTGGCCTCCTGGAGCCGGCCACTCTGCAGCCCAGCCTCACAGAGGGACAGATGCGTTGAGCACGGTTCTTCCGCGTTCGAGGGGCCTCCACACAGCCAGTGGCCGGCCGGCCCTTGTTCAATGCCAGGGCCTCTCATGTTGGAAAACTGCACCCTAAGCTTCCACATGTGAGCCGTTCCCCTGACTATATGTTCAAGGAGGTGGAGGGGAGCCGGGCTCAACACATTTCCACCCCGGCACAGAGCCCCAGCCACGCTGACTGCCCCACGGAGACACCCCACGTGCACCCTGTGGGACACGCTGGCCCACTCTTCACCCCAGGAGCCGGGTCCCTCCCTCCTGCACACTCAGCTGCTTTCTTCAGGACGGTGCCCTCAGCACCCCTGCGAGTTCTGACCCCGAAAGTCAAAAGCTGCCCACGTTCGGTGACCCCGCCCCGTCCCCGTTAGCTATGAGTCCCTGCTTGACAGACGAGCACAGGACAGATGCTCACAGCGGCCTCTCAGCCTCCGGGCCGGATCGAACCGGGCCAGCTCCTTCTCCACGTAGTACAGGACCTTCATGGAGTCCTGCTCTTTGTCCGCCTGGATCCGGTAGCCTTTGCGAACTGTTGAGAAATGGACAAGCGCGTGAACTGACACATCAGGAGACGGGCCCGTTCATTTCACCAAGCACAGAACCCGGGTCCCGCGTGCACCAGCTCTGAAGTCGCCCAGCCGCGGTGACCCGTGTGGGTACACCTGAGCTCCGCTTCGTGCCGGGGCGCCCGGGAACGGAGGCCCAGCCGGTCCCAGCGGAGCCCCAGGACAGTACGACTGTAGTGGTGTCAGCCTCTGCTCCTGACACCCGCCCCCGTCGCTCCACTGAAAGTTCATCTTCTCCCACTCAGGACTCCCTGCGACGGCAAGACGCTCGAGAGAGACCGCTTTCTAGACTGAGGACACAGGTGGCGCTAGCCCGCAGCTCACACCTTCACTTGGGGGGGTACTTGTCACTTTCAAGCGGACACCTCCCCATGGGGACCCTGACAGGCGGCGCCCAGATCCCCTGCCTGTGCCGTGAGGGCGAACGTCGGGGTACAGGCGACCTACGCCTTGTGAGGGTAAGATGCCGACTACGGGGACGGGCGTGACGGTTGCAGTGTCCCCTCAGCATTCCCTCTTAGGGAAGTCAGCGCCGTATGGTGGACGCGAGGAGCTGGCTCTGTGGTTACCAGCAGGCGTTATTTTCAGGGTTTGATGACAGACAAAATGAAAGCACCGGAGATAATCCCATCTCCTACGTTCCTGTCACTCGTATTGTCAGGGACAAAGGCTGTTTGAGCCCCACAGCCCTGAAGTATCTAGTCCAATACCAGCCCCAAAGGCGGGCCCAATCGTCCCAGATGAGAGAGGAGAGGAAGGTGGGGAACAGAGCAACGAGGGTGAGAGGCGACGCTGAAGGGGCCCCGAGGACACGCTGGGGACTTGCCGATGCCCGACGAGGCCACTGTTCCTCGGGCCTCCCAAGGAAGGGACTGTTCTTGGCCACATCTCGTGGTCGAGAAAACTGGCCCAGAGGAACTTCCTGACTCGGTCGGGAACACTGGCTGCCCCAGGGCTGGGACCTGCTATCTGAGCGACGTCTCACCGGACCGGACATCGTGCCCGGCTGGGAGTCAGGACCCCAGGAGGAAGGAGAGGCAAGGGGACGAGAAAGAGCCCAGAGGAGGAAGTGCCCTTAGGTGGCGATGGCACTGTGGTCTGAGGCCTGGATCTGTGGTCCAGCCCGTCAGGACTCCACCACGAATGGAAGCAAGGGACCCAATTCCAACGTTCTCTGGGCCACAGTGAGGCAGCTACGCAGAACAGCCACGTGCTGGCACATGCCTCCAGCTCTCCGGTCCTGCTACCCTGCCCGTGGACAAAGCCCACGCGAGCCGTGTACATGGAAGACTAAAATACACCCTTCTGCAGCCCTCGATCACAGCCCTGGCACGGAGACGGGCACTGCCCGCCCACTGGCAGGTGTGCCGCTGCTCCGAGTGCACGCTGGGCGGTGCACACTCACCTCCAACTGTGCTGTTACTTAAAAAAAATTAATGACTCTCACACGTGCCGTTAGCCACTCCTTCTCCCGGAGGCTAGATCCATAATCCTTTCGCAGAAGCCGTTATTAGCAGGAATGATTTTTAGTATCAAGCGACACCGTCTCCCATCTCTGCAGGGGCGTTTGGAGTGCTCCAGACAGTTTAATTAAAATGCAATTATCCCACGGAGCCGCACTGTCTGTTCTGAGCAGTGACGTCGGATGGAAGAAGCACAGGGCCGGGAGGTGGGGAACCGGGTACCCCGCAGACATGCCATGGGTTTACCAAGGGGCCTCCCATTAACGGTGACCTCTGTGGGACTCAGTTTTCATGACTGTAGAAGACAACTCCTACTTCCCACCTTTTAAATAATCAAGTAGAGAAGAGAAGGCAGCAAAGGCCAAGTCCGAGGGGCAAGCCGAGTGCTCATGACCCCCAGGGGCAGCTCAAATGCTGCCCCTCTAGAAGGCTTTGCTTCTCGTCGCTGGAGAAGTCCCGTCTCCTCTCTCTCTGCCTCACCCCTAATTTACACGTCATTTGGTTTGAACTTTTATCACGGCCCTTAACATATTCGAGCTCATTTCAAGTTATTTGTAGAAGTGCGTCATCTTACCAAAGATGCTGGAGGGGCAGGAACCCTTCTCATCTGGTGTGGAAAACAAAGACCAAAGCTAGGACCTGGCTCTCCACCAGCAGCCACCTGGGAAGTGTGTGGAGCGGAGTGTCCTAAGCAGCGTGAATGAAGGGAAATCAGGAGCAGAAACAATGTTACAAGGGATAGGAGGGAAGGCAGGAGCCATGCAGGTGGTGTGTTGCAGAGGTTTGACCAGGAACGGAGCAGCAAGGGTTAGGTAAGTGTTATCGTCATTACTGACGATGATTTCCCAAGTAAAGACTAGCATGTTTGTAGGCTTTGGGGGAGGGGCCTGCTCTACCTGTAGCTGTGGCTTTGTCCCGTGTTCTTAACATGTGAAGCGCCGTCACGGTCAACTTCCAGTAATAAACGCTGAGATGGGGGGGGGGGGACTGTCCCCTGGCGGCAAGAGAGGGCTGCCACCCTCAGCAACAGCTGGAGACCTCTCGGCTAACTGCCCCTTGGGCTGAGCATAGATTGTCTCGTCATTATACCTTGACACTCCTCCTCAGATGGATGTGATTTGATACGAATACAGAGGTTCTTGGGGCTCTGAAAAGTCCCAGTAACTATTTCCAGCCTCCAATGAAGACAGCAGTGTTGCCTTTCAATCCTGGTTGGGTACAGAGACTCCCTATGTTGGATACTCTCAGCTTTGACTTCTTGGTTACATAGGCCCATGACGTCAGATACCTAAATCCTGCCCGGCCGGTGTGGCTCAGTGGTTGATCATCAGCCCCTGCACCAAGAGGTCAGCGGTTCGATTCCTGATCAGGGCACAGGCCCGATCCCCAGTGGGGGGCATGCAGGAGGCAGCCCATCGATGTTCTCTCTCATCGATGTTTCTACCTCTCTCTCCCTCTCCCTTCCTCTCTCTCTAAAATCACTAAAGAAGAAAAAAAATTAAAAAAAGAAACCTAAATCCCTCTCATTTGTCAGAAAGTACTGATCTTGAGACATTAAGCCAGGCAATTCTCCTTGCAAAGATGCTGGCGTTTTTTATGGTGAGCTCAGCTCTACTGCGTGCGCACTAGAACTCCTCTCGGGCTGGGAGGGTCTGGCCGCGTCTGCAGCATGCTCCGGAGCAGGTAGAACGCCAGAAGGCCTGTCCTGACCCGCCACGCAGGTGAGACCCGTCCTCCTGAGTGGGCAGAGGACAACAGCCTTAGCAAGTGCTGCCGTCTTTCCACTAACTACCCCCAGGAACACTCCGCTAGCCCATGAATTCCTTGAGGGGAAATTTATAAACATTAAATTGTTCTTGATTTGAAAAATAAATCAAATGGTGTCTGGTTGATTTTTATCTGGACTTTGAAGATCCGAGAACCCTGGCGTGCGGCAGTATTTTAATAAGCAATGCCGCAGACCGCTGGCCAAAGTCCACCGTGTTTTTGGAAAATGACACCCCCCACCCCCAGGTGGGGTTTCAGTTTAGGAAGGATAGATTATTTCTCTTTTCAGGTTCAGTCCTATCCAAGTCCTCCGGTTGGCATGGCTTCCGACGTGAGCTTGCCAAGTGTGCTTTTACCGGAGGGAAGATCAGGGTAGTCATGTTCATGCCACACTATAATTTTAAGCCTTTCTTATTGTTAAAGGATTTGAGCTCATACCTTTGACCCCATTAAGTCTCCATTATTTTCCAGTTAACCTCCCCCTTTACAGCCCCATGAAACATATAAAACTCGAAAAAGACGCCCCAAGGCAGGTGCCCCCGGACACAGCCTTGTTCCCCCAGCCTGAGCTTATGGGCTCAACAAGGCTGTTCACAGGTGACGGCACAGCTGCCAGGTGCACCGCGCCCCCTGTGTCAGCGCAGCTGCGGGGGAGGTGGTGCCAAAAACGTGCAGCCCTCCATACTCCTGCAGTCAGAGTAGGAGGACACGCCCTCCTTCGTGCCGGGACGGCGCTGCAAGGGCTGAGTGCAGGCCAGGTGGATGTGACAAGTGGATCAGAGCAAGGACGGTGCATGCGGGAGACCGCGTAGGGGTCACGCCCTCCCCCAGGTGGGGAGGCGGCAGCAGGGACGAGGAGGGCGGTCCTCGGGATGGAGGACAGGACACCGACTGGAGGCTCTTTGTCTGAAGCCTTGGTGACCAGCTGGATGTGGGAGCTGAGGGAGAGGATGAGAGGAAGGTCAAGTCCTGGCTTCTGGTTTGATAGTAGGTGCACAATGAAATGAGACCCGAGGAGGTGAAGGGGCCAGACAGCAGGCTAAGTCCGTTTCCCAGGGCCGAGTAGGACTGCCCGCCGGCCACTGGGTGATGACTGGAAGGCGGCTGGACGTGGGGACCGAGGAGCAGAGGAGAGGTCGGCGTCATCGGCACTCACAGTGGTGACAGCCTGGGAGTGGGGATGATTCCCCAGGGAGGGGACGGTGGACAGAACAGGAGCACCCACCTCTGGGCAACGAGCCCAGAACCGCCGGCCGGTAGCGAGGGGGGCGGGAAATGTCGCAGCGCAGCGTGGAGGGCAAAGCTAAGGAGTGGGCCGGGCGGCCAAGCTTCTGCCCCCTCGGGGAGCTGGCCTGCAAGGACCCACTGCACTTAGCGAGAAGACGGCCTGGTGCGCACGGGTGTCGGGGGCAGGAAGGCAAGGGCAACATGGAAGTTCGCTGCGGAGCTGAGCAGAGGACGTGGGGACACGGAGTGTTCAAAACTCCCAGGGGTCCGACAGGAAAGGGATGGGACGGACCTCAGGGGACTCCTGGGCTTCGCAGAGTGTCGGCATAGTTTAGTGGGAGGGGTCTGAGTGTGTTCTGAATGCTGATAGGAAGGAGACCCCAAAGAAGGAAGGCTGGAGAAGTGAGGTGGGAGTGGGGTGCAGTGTGCATTTTCTACAGAGAGAGCCCTGACGAGCTCGGGATGGGGCCAGAGCTGGGGGGGGGGGTGTTTTTACTGAGAGGTCCCCCCAGCCTCCACGAACAATGGGAGAAGGAGTCTCCCCCTCGGGACGCGTGGCTTTCCTCTCCACAGCTCACCACAGACACCTCTCAACTACCAGTGCTCAAAAGAGTTGTGGAATCTGAAAAATTACTGTTGCTAGGTGACTACCCCCAAACTGAGGTCACATGTAAATAGAGGCTAAATTTACATCTTTATACAGCCTTGTTTCTGCCTGATGCCAACGCGCTGTAGAGTAGTCTGCACGGAGCATGGGCTGTCAGTCCTTCGGGCCGTGGGGCCCTGAGGACAGATGTGCCCAGCGGGGATGGCAACTGGCCAGGCTGCTGTGGCCGACAGTGGTTGTGTGACAACCCCTTTTCCTCACTAAGAGAGCCCGATTCTGTTCATTTCCAAGGTCAATGGGTGTTTTGGCCTAAGAGATGAGTCTCGACTAATCCAAGCCAATGTGGTTTAAGAGGGGGCACAGGACACGCTCTCGCCAATAAGGTTGCAAGACGTCTGCCCTGCTGGTGTGGCTCAGCGGTTAGGATGTCGGCCCGTGAACCAGAGTCACGGGTTTAATTCCCGGTCCAGGGCACGTACGGGGTTGCAGGTTCAATCTCTGGCCCCAGTCTCCCCCCCCCCAATGTCTCCAAAAATAAAAGACTGCAAGGTGTCTGTGGGACGGAGGGACCTTTAGGAAAGTCCCCTCACTCTTGAGAACAGCAGCCCACAGAAGCAGCTTGTGTTTTCTGCCCTGAATGCATGTTGTCCCTGGAGCTGTCAGTCACTGAGGGACACGAGGGAGTACTCGAGAGGACGGAGCGAGATGGAAGGAACGAGGTCCCTTGGTGATGTCCCCTGATCCGTCCCAGTGGCCGAGCCCGGGGCTACCTCTCCTGGGCTTCCTTGCTGTGGAAACAGTACACCGTCCTGTTTTCTGGCCACGCCTACTCGCAGTGGTCAGTGTGGCCGGCCCCGCCCGGACGATGGAACCCAACAAGCAGGAGCTGGGAGGAGCTGGCGCGGGACAGGACAGCCTGCCAGTCTAGGAGCGCGGGTCATGTTATCACGAGGCTCGTGCACTGAATGTCCGGGGAGGGTGTGCTGCGAAGGAAGCACAGACTGGGGGACAGGGGAGCGGCCCTGCTGTGTTCCTCTCGGTCCTGTGTGTCCCTGATCACGGACTCTCACTTCCCAGCCCGTGACTCGGTTCCGCTGTCCGAGTAGTTCCGGGCAGAGGAAAACACAAGTAGCGATTACTCAGAGGACATCCGCTCCTTCCGCGGTCCCTGACAGTTCCTGAGGTCCTTGTGCCCGGCCCTCCGGTACCTCCAGGGCAGGGATGTCGCTCTCTCCCCTGCAGCTCATCCAGGTCTCAGGATTTGCAAAGCTCCTCCTAAGTCTACTGCACACACAGTCCAACCTCACTGCTCTGTACCCCGGGCCAAACACCTCCAGGAAAGCAACCCCTGAATGTCCACTACACCCCAACAGCCCGTAACCACAGTTCCTCCTGCCCTGAACGGGGCTAGTCTCATCTAAACAGGGTCTCCTCACCAAGGAGTCACTTCAGTCTGAGACACACCACTGGGCTGGGCCCATCTCGAGGCTCCGTTCCTCGTTCCCTGAAGTCTGATGATTTCCCTTCTCTCTCAACTGCGGACGCGCTCAGCTCCCACGGCCTCCAGCCCGACGCTCACGTGCCCCCCGAACCACTTCTGTCACATCCCAGCTCGAGGTGACTCCACTCTCCCCATGGACCACCTGCCCCGAGAGCAGGTCACCTCTCTCCTCAGGACTCTGCCTGTGTGACCCCCACGTGCTTCGGAGCCAAGCCCAACTCTCCTGGGGGGAGGGGTTCACAATACCAGGGGGTCAGACAATGAGCAGGACACCATCACACACACGTTCTCCCAGCTCTGGCTTCCACCTGCTGCCTCCTGGGGTGCTCAGTGACCCCGCTCTGCTCTCCCAGCCCTCCCGGACCTCACCTCTTCCCGGAAGCCTGGTGACCACTCGGCTCTCTCCCCTCCACCCTCCCAGCCCCACACGCATCGAGTTGCCTTGATAAAGTCCATGGTCCCCGCCGCTGGGCCACACTGCCTGGACTCACCAGGCTCCTCTCGGTGCCGGCTAGTCCTCAGCACGAGGGAGGGACGAGCAAGCTATTCACTGCCTTCTGGCATGGAGGCACCTCTCCCAAGGAGCGCCCCAGCTACGGGCGGTCGCCAGCTGGAAGGGGCGTGGAGGCGGGAGGAGTGTGGGGGTGGGGCGGTCTGGAACCACATTTACCACTGCGGCTGCCTCCAGTGGAGTCACTTGGAGCCAGGGGAGGTGGGTGCGGCTTGTCCATCAGCATGCCCGATGAGGGGGCTCCTCCCAAGGGGACAGAGGGGATGGAGTAGGGGCCGGGGACACAGGAGACGGAGGGAGGGTACCCGGCCTTTGCTGCTTTCCCCGCTTCATACACTGTGGAGGGAGATGAAGAGCGAGAGAGATTACATGGCCCCGCCCTCCTCAACCCTCACACCGCACGTCCCTGAGGATGCGCTTCAGGGAGCTCCTGGATGTGTGTGTACACATGCCTATGTGTGCACGTGTGCATATGCATGCATATACATGCAGGTGTGTGCCTGTGTGTACGTGCATGCACGTGCATATGTGCACATTCGTGTACACATGTGCCTATTTGTGTGTACATGTGTGCACGTGTGAATATGCAGGCATATACATGCAGTTGTGTGCCTGTGTGTACATACATGTGTGCATATGCACATATGCGTGTACGTGTGTGCCTATTTGTGTGTGTACATGTGTGCTTTGTGATGCACATGTGCATGTGTGGCGTGTGTGTACATGTGCCTGTGTGGTGCGTGTGTGTGCACCATATGTAATGTGTGTACATGTGTGCATGGTTATGTGTGTGCCTATGCACACGTGTTTGCATGTGTCATTTGCACGCCTGCGTGTGTGTTCCCCTAGGCCTGAATTACTTCATTGGAACCACTCTCCCGCACTCCCTTGGTTTGTCAGAAGGCGACGACATCAGGGTCACAGTGTTTGGTACCTGGCAGCTGAGTGATTCAGCGGTACTGGAGCTGCAGAGCAGCGTCCCCAGTGACAGAGCACCCACTCCCAACCACACCGCCTGTAGGCGGCCCCTGCCCCGGGGCTGCCCAGGCCTGCTTCCAGGGGAGCCTGGGCCTCTTTCAGAAGCAAAGCAAGAGTGGGCTTGCACACGGCCCTGCTTGTGGGCCCAAGCAGAGCAGTGACCGGGCTCCTCCCGGACAGTGCTCGACTCCCGAGGGTACTAAACACGCACGCTGTGTCTCCGTCCTTCCAGATGCGTTTGGCTTACGGCAGGAGTCCCAAACTGAATGCCTACCTGGGCTTGGCCAGTAAGGTGAACCCGTGGCTCCCCAAAGGAGGACTAGTCCCTCTGAGGATGCTTTTGTCGTGGGAGCAAATACAGCCCACCAGCGGCCGGCTGGTCCCAAAGACTGTGGTCTGCACGCCGCTATCAGAGGGGTTCTCTGCTTGTGGGAGGCGTGACCAGGGACCGTCGCCTCGAGGCTGGATGCCCAGGAGAGGGCAGAAGCCTCAGCCACAGCGTCACCATCCTGAACCTGCCCTTCCGGTCATCGGAGTGTCACCAAGGACTCCGAATGCTGGTGACAGGGGTGGACCAGAGCATGGAGAGGCGAATGGAGGCGAGAAGGCGAATGAGGCTGGTCGGCTCGGGAAGCTGGGGCTCCCCGCAGAGGAGGGGCGAGGAATGAGCAACACTTCGGGCAGAAGGAAGGGGGCGGAGAAGGACGCCGGGGCACAGGGCTGTCCCACGGTCTCCATCCCTCTCCAGCTGCCACGGGGCTACTCACAGGCCTGCGGGCAGCAGCAGGAGTCCGGGCAGCAGGGGCAGCGGATGTAGCAGCAGCAGCTGTGCGGACAGCACTGGCACCAGCAGATGCCCACCAGGACGAAGAAGAGGACGACGCCCAGGATCACCAGGCCGACAAACACCCACTCTGGAGGGACGCACAGAGATGCCGCATCAGGATGGCCACGCTCACCCGTGTCCACCGTGAAGAGGCGCGGGAGGGCCCGGGGAGGGAAGCCCCCATAACCAGGCACGGAGCCCCCGAGCTCGGGGGACTGGCAGAGTGAGAAGTACACACCCTCCCAGGGCTGGGGCGCTGGGAGGAGGGACGGTCACCTGGGACCTCCTGGGCACCCAATGACCAGCACGAGACACGGGCGCCAGAGCCCGTCCTGGGGCAGGGGTTTACCCCCTCGACTGGAGAGGCAGAAAGACGCGTGACCTGGGGTGGGGGGCTTCGCTGAGTTGTGACGTGGTGGTTCTGTGAATACATGTTTGGGGGAGTCAAGTTCATCCTGTCCCTAAAAGTGTAAGTCCTGAGAAAAACTTCCCACGTCTGCCTGGTCTAAATCAGAACACCGCTCGGTGGTCTGCGCCCTCATGAATTCATGCTTCCCTGCCGATCGTCCCAGCTTCGGGCTCAGACTGTCCAACCAACCGAGAGCCGAGAGACAGGCTCCCACAGGGAAGAAGCCTGCCTCGCCCGCCCTTGATTCTGGGACTTTCGATAGGGCCCAAATCCCACCGGAGCGGGGGTGAGCCGTGACTTCCCTTCAAGCAGAAAGATTAAAGCCAGTCATTGTGATTGAAAAGCATCGACCCCAAATCCCTTTACAATGAACTTTAAGTACACATTATTTTCTTAAATTTTGGTTATTAAATATCCCTACGGTTAAATGGACATTCAATTAGAGCCTGAAAAAGACATTTTTGTGGCATAGAAGGCTGTACGATCCCAGTCAAGTCGTTTGACCTTTGTTTAGAACAAATTCCTCAGAGAGAAAATGACTTGTCTCCCGAATGTCCCTCCTGGCTCAGTCCCCTGAAACACATTCACATGAACCAGGTCACCTCTCTTCAGAGAAGGACCCTGTGGCTGGTGTGGTCGAAAGAGCAGCCTCGCTGGGGACAATCGGTGGCTGAGGGCTTTGGCCTGGGCCCTACAGAGAACAGAACATCATGCGCCCTGAGCCGGACGTGAGCCCCGAGGGCTCGATGGGGGTATGGCGTGGTGCCTCCAGCGTGGGCCAGGCCGTCGGGGAGGGAAGACTGGTAGGTGACCTTGCAGGAACAATGTCATCGGTGGAAGGATTCTTGCAGCAAAGAGGGAGGGGAATTCAGGCATCCAGGACCAAACAATGAGAAACACAGTAACTCCTGGGGACTGGGGCACATAAGGACGTGTCTGAGCAGCACCGCAAGGCAACATTGTTTCCTTGGTGTACATGCTGACGCAATTCTGGATAAGGAGCATCACAGAGAGACGGCTCTGTGTGACCTTGGGATCAACCTGACTAAGGAGAATGTCAGCGAGTGGGAAGGGGCCGGGGGACTCAGGAAGACTCGGGGTGTTTCTTACACCTGGAGTCAAGGCAAAACCAATGGCCGGGAACAGTTAGCATCTCTCTGCCGCTCGTAACTACTAGGCACCTCTTCAACCTTGGGCAGAAACCCTCCCAAGCAAGGCGGAGCCCTCTCCCACCCCGAATTCGGACGTTCCCTCCCCCACGGTCTGTGGTTTCTGCCGGAGCCCTGCTGCTCTACGGACGACAGGGATGCACCGAACTGAGGGGGCCTGTCTAGGCTGGTGCTTCGGCTACGTACAGACAGAGGTGTGCATTCGGGACAGGCGTCCTTGAGATAGGGTCCCGAGACCCCCAAGGACTCGGGGGCCCCAGAAGGCCCTGACGTTGTACACAAAGCAGAGTAAGTATGTAGGTGTGGGCGCTTCAAGGAAGGAGGGGTGCAGGGCTTTCATTAAGCTTGAAAACATGTTTGGATAAAGTCAGAAAAGGCAGTTCAGAAGAACATGCAGCTAGGGCATCGGGAACACGGCCAGCGATGACTCTGGTAAGGGCGCGCCTAGCTGCCCGGGTGGGGCTGAGACACCAAGATGGGCATGCCTGGCACGCAAGGACTGGGTCCCCAGCTCAGCCCATTTTTAATGATCCTTCTCCTTGCAGGGTGTGATAACGGAAAAAGTACAATTTAAAAGCTCTCCCAATGGGCTTAGTTCATCCTGGACAAGAGCACAGATGTACACAGACACGTGTGGCAATAAATGACAGGAGCGGTAAGTGACTGACAGAAGCCAGACGGATGGAGCGACAGCAAACTCGGCACACAGCAAGTTCAGTGGCTGGATACCTGGCATAATCTCCACAGCAAAACGGGGCAAGAGGTCAGCAAGCAGCCCTGTCCTGCCTAGAAGAGGTAGGAGGGAAGAAGGGAAGAGGTTACTGCAGAGGAAAACACAGCCGAGGCCTGGCCGCAGCCCACCCCGCCCGGGCGCTCACCGCGCGTCCTGGTACACGAGTCCGCGCTGGGTCCGGAGAGACCTTCCCTGCCGACCTCTGGCAGCCACGTGAGTGACCTCTGCACCCACGTCGGAAGAAGCAGAACAGAACTCTCTCTCCAACTATTTCTAGGAGGAGGAGGTGTCTGCTCCAACCACAACAGCCCTGCTTCAGCAGAAGGACCCGCACCCTCTCCATTCACTCCCGTCCTCCCCTGCACGTTTTATGGGAAAGTCCAAGCCGTCTGCGTCCGGACGCTCAGCCTACATCTCCACACATCCCTGTGTCCAGATAAAAGCAAACGCACGGATTTGGTTTCCACTCGGGATGATCTCACGACACGACTCTATTTACAGCCTAGAGCTATGTCAACGATGCGCATTTTCAAAGGCGAGGAAGACAGAAGCGAGGTGGGCTGCACGCCCCTCCGCTCTACCTTCGGAAACGCTCTGCACACACGTACACGCGGGGCCGCCCCACATGGCGCCCACGGCTGGCGCTGCACGGACCCAGGTGCCTTCCAGGTGGGCTGCGGGGAAGCTGAAGGGCTGGCGTCAGGACAGCTGCCCCTCGCGCTCTGGCTGGCAAGGAGCTCGGCGGGGAGCGAGCCGCTGGACGGTGGGAAGGAGGCTCGTGTTTACAAGCTGGCCCGACCTAAGAAGTCCTCACACCAACGTCAGCGGGAAGGCTCCGCTGGGACTTCTGCCCGCGCCACACACCCCGGCCGCCCTGAGGTCTCGCTGACGAACAAGGCTCACTAGGCAACAGCTCGCTGCTCTCTCAGACCTGGGGTGGCGAGAGGTCACTGTGGCACCTGAACGCTACCTCATTCGCGTGGGTGGCACTGCTTCTAGAACTGCTCCGTCCAGTAGAAACATCATGTGAGCGGCGGGTCATTTTAGCTTCTCTCGTAACCACACTGAGTTAAAAGGGGCCCTGGCCGGGCAGTTCCGCTGGTTGCAGCATCGTCCCTATACACCAAGGCTGCAGGTTTGATCCCCGGTCAGGGCACATACAAGAAGCAACCAATAAGCGCATGAACAACTTGAACAACTGTTTCCCTCTCTCTCTCCCTCTCCCCCCCCCCCCTCTAAAATCAAGCAATAAGGCCAGCTGGTGTGGCTCAGTGGATTGAGCGTCATCCCACGCGCTGAGAGGTCCCGGTTCAATTCCTAGTCAGGGCACATGCCCGGGTTGCAGGCTTGATCCCCAGTAGGGGGCGTGCAGGAGACAGTTTCCCGTAGTGCGCTGGTGTGGCCAGCCCCGGGCGACCTGGGTGATAAACCCCTGCAGTCCAGCGGGCACAATGCAAGGTCTTTCCAACTGAGAACAGTCGGAGTTTGGGGTAGCGGGCAGTACCACTCCGTCATGTCAACGGGCGAGAAGGTGCCGGTCTCGGCTTTTCTGTGCGACTTACATTTATTGGACAAAGGCCTCTGAGAAGTGGGTCTATGCTGGGATCCTCTACTTCGGACAGCGTTTTGCTTGCGTCTCACCCAGCGCGTCCTGTAAAAGCCGCTGCCGGCTGACATGCTGTGTCTCCCCTTCCCATGCTAACCAGTCACCTCCCACGACAGCCCGGTTGTGGAGAGTCCAAACCACCGCAGCCGCCGTCCCCGCTCCCTGGGCCACTCTGCCCAGCTGCGTATCCTGTCTGCTCCCAGGGCTCGGTCTGAGAGCGGCAATCACGCGTCACTTTACTGGGAAAGGATGGAGAGACGACACTGCAAAGAGAGGGCCCACTTCCTCCGCTCAGACACAGTTCAGGCTGGTAGAAAACACAGTCTCCGTGTATACGCTCGGTTTCCCCCAAACCCTGCAGCATCTATTACCTTTAAGAAATTCCCACGAGCCCTGGCCGGTTTGGCTCAGCGGTTGGAGCATCGGCCTGTGGACCAGCGAGTCCCAGGTTCGGTTCCCGCTAGGGGCACGTACCAAAAAAAAAAAAAAAAAAGGAATTTCCACGAGTGAGCCGAAGTAACCAGGCAGCCTCCTTGTTAGAACAAGCACACACAAGCGAGGGTCCCATACCAGGGCGCCCCAACGTCACAGCCCCACACCTCCACGTGCCCTGGGCTGAATGATCGGGCAGACACCTGCACTGCGGGTCGAACAACGTACACGTGGTCCCTCCATGACTCCCTACGGCAGCTGCTGCCCGCCACGGACCCCCTGAAGTTATCCCCCCTGAACTCTCCAGACTCGTTACTTCTGGAGTGTCTCCAGTTCGTTCATTCATTCATTCAACAAGGAACGTGCTGGTGCCCGGCGAGAGCGGAGGGGAACGAGCTGTGATCCCCACAGTCCCGAGGCTCTCGGTCCAGCCTGTCCAGCAGCGTGTACACAAGAACCCAGTGTTCGGTGTTCCCTGCTGCGTTGCACGACGTGACGAAGGTCAAGGATGCTCCTCCAGCCACACGCGATGGTTTCCTCAGTCTTTCTCGCATTTCTGACATCAGGTTCCACCTCGTCCTGGGGCCTCTCCCCAGAGACAGCGTTATGGCTGCGTCTATCGCACCAGCCCTGTCCTGTGACGTTTCTAAGATGCTAGTACTCCCCTCATGGTGGCCAGGACCCTCGCGGCTGGGTTTACTTCTCTCCTAGGATAACAGCTCCTCGCTTCTCACTGTCCTGCTTTGTTGAGATCCTCACGACACGCGGCCTACGTAACCACGTGGGTTCTGACGGCCCCGAGAGACGGCGCGGCCCGCAGGCTCGGGGGACCGCCTGGCACAGCGGCACCGCAGCACCGGTCTCAGCCCTGAGTGCAGGGAGTCCTGCACGGAGGACGGAAACCCAGGGCAGGGGCTGCCTTCTCTGCTTGGCGTCCCCAGCAGCCCCGCGAGGGGAGGCACCGGACCCCTTGGGACCTTGACGTGTTTCTCGGGTACGCCGGCTTCCGGTTCGCCGCTCACCACGGTGCCTTTTCCATCCCAGACGGAAACAGGGTCTTCACAAGCACAGGAAGGAAGCAGTCACTCATGCAGCCCTGCTCTGCATGCCGGAGAGGGGCGAGCACCCCTGGATGCAGGGCTCATGCCAGGAGCATCCCCAAATGTCATCTTACCAGCTAGAAGCACTGCAGGACCACCCCACCCCTCACCCCACAAGTGTAAACCACCGGGCTGGGGTATTTTTAAGGCACACATTTAGAGACACAATGTACTTGCACACTTTACTCAAAAAAGATTATTTTTGTCTCTAGTCTTAAAACTTGAATCCAAGCCCGATTATTCGTCCAAGCCTTCAGCGGGCGAAGGACACGCATTTCCGTTGTCCTTACGAGGTCGCCACTGCCAACAGCATAGTTATCTCCATTCCTGTCGCCGAACTTCCTTCCTTCCTTCCCTCGAGCCCTCCTGAGCTTCGTCGGTGAACTGCTGCTTCAGGGCAACCCGGGCTGCTTTTCTTCCCCTGCTCCTCAGAATTCCTTCTTCCTTCTGTCTAATGCACGTGGGGGCTCCCTCCCGACGTGCCCCAGATCCGTTTTCGGGGATGCGCGGCGCCCATCCCTGCTCTCCCAGCTCCCAACCCTCTGAAATGTTTCTCCTCTCAGTCTGAGGACAGTGAATGTCTTTCTCTGGCTTCTCTAAGTGTAAACTTCGTTTTGGAAAATCCCCAAGGGCACACACATCCGTTTTTACTCTGTATTCCCACGGCGACCACGCATTCAGTACAGTCTATGACCACCCACCACGAGCATGGAGCTGGCCTCCCCCTCCTCTGTTTATATTTATAGACCAAGCAGGTAAGTCTTTCACGTGTGTTCTCTTTCTCTCTGTGTCTTTCCCATTTTAGCTCACTTTAAATTATATTGAACGATTCCGACACTGAATTCTCTCCATCAGATGACCAGTGTTAGACTATCCGCAATCAACTGTTCACACGCGCTTTGTTTGGGCTTTTTGGCCGTGATGATAAGGTTGGTCCAAATCACTGACTTCTCGTCACAGAATCCGAGAATCAGACTTGATAGCTAGGAAAGAGCTTGGAGGTCATCTACTCTGTAACCCACCCATGTTTTCAGGCACCTGAGGCTCCGAGAGGTTACACATTTCATCTAAGTCACACAGCTGACACACGATCAACCCAAGAGTAGAACCTGGGTCCGCTCTCCCCACTCTGGCTTTGCAGCTCCTCACTCTCCCTTAAGATCTGCTTGTCCTCAATGTAACTGCTTCCTCATCTCCTAGGATTTGCAGGGAGCCACCCTCCAAGCGTGGCATCATCGCCCCACTTACACAAACTATAATTTGGGGGTGTAGGAAGTGTTAGAGATGGTTAACTACGCCAGCACCTTTTCACCTTGCAAGCAGAAAAGGATGACCGCGTACACCACGGCAGGACGATCTAACGGAAGGGCGTACACCTGCCGCTACAAACTGATCAACAACTGGAACCCACTGCAAAGCGCTCGGCCTTAGAGAAGCGCTCCCGTGACCCAACCCCCTGCCCTGGGAGAGCGACCGGATGTGAAATATCATCAGTAACGTAACATGCTCCAGTCGGCCCGAGATGAAATGCAGAGGACAGCCACGTTTGCCTCCAAAACGATGTGGAGGAGGGTGGGGTTCATGGAAGGAGGAAAGTGAGCTTCTTGGTGTGATCCACGTGATTTCCCGAGCTCGCCGGGCAGCAAACCGGAGCAGGCGCCTTAGCCACAAAGATACCAAGCAGGGATGCTTTCCTGAACCAAAACAGCCGGGGTCTGGCCAGATGGGGAGGGCGGGCCCTGCAGCCTTGGGCCGGCAGGACCCTGCCCTCTCTGGGCCTGCCCCCTCTCCGTGTGAACGCAAACCTGCACACTTCAACAGTGGCAGCTGGCTCTGGAGACAAACGGGATGACTGTCTCCTGACCGGCCTCCGAGCGCTCCATTCTTTCTGTGCAGGGCTGCGCGGGTTTCTGGG